TGCAGCTGCTGGGGATGGGGGGGCGGGGGGCGGGGGGCATGGTAGGATCAGATGGCGTCAGGGAGCGGAGGGGATGGGATGTGAGGAGGGGAAGCAAAGGTGTGGACCACTGTTTCTAGCCTCCAGTGGTCATCCCAACTCCCTGGAGGGCTTGTCAATCAAATGCAGGTGGCCGGGCGCACCTCCAGGGCTCTGGAGTCCAGGGTCAGGGGGCTGCTGAGAATCTGCATGGCTACCAAAGTCCCCACAGCGGCTGCTCCAAGGACACCTTTGGGGCCTGGAGTAAATCACTCTGGCAAGATGCTCGATGAAGAGGCTGGATAGGAGTTAGTTAGTGTGTGTGGGGGGTGGGGGGATAGAGTGGGAGGAGTTACCATGGGGATGTGCCAGGGCCAGAGGGCGGAGCCGGCTCCCCAGGGCCAGGGGAGGGAGGTCCCTGGAAGGCAGGAGGGGACTGAACCAGGTGCAGACGGACAGCTTGCCCTGTAACCAGCAGGGACACCGAGCAGGGCGGCCAGGGGCCTGGAAACCCCAGGAAGCCCACAAGGCTGTGTGACTCTCCTCGGCCACCTTGGGGGCGGGAGGAGCCCTGCCGCCTCCCCCTCTGCACAGCGACCCTGCCTTTTGCCCTCACAGAGCTGCAGGCTCCAGCCTGCCTCTCCTTCGTCCCTGTGAGCTGTTACTCTATGTCCAAAAGAGAGGAACCGTGCATGATTCACGGGTTGTGTGCACCACCCTGTGGAGAGTGGCGGAGCTGGAGCCGGCAAGAACCCCTGTGATGCTCCCGGCCTCGCCGGGCCTCCAGGGACCCGGCGTGCTGGGAAGCAGCCTCTGGTTTGGGTGTGACATCTGATGCACCCCCGACACTTGGCACCTAGTGTTTATCACCATTTTACTCTTTTTTTCTGAAGAATAGACTATATCAGAGGATGATAATACTGGTTCTAAGACCCACGTCACCTCATTTTCCAAAAGAATGGGGAATTCTCTAAATGGAGATTTCTTTCAAAAGATTTTGGGGAGGAACTCTTGAAGGGCAAAGGCCTGTCTCACATTAGCTTGCGTTGGCTCAGAAACCGCCAGCTTACAAGCCCCTGCATGAATGGTATCCTCTGGAGGACGTGGCCCCCGCCCTTTCCTGGGCTGCCCGCCTGGCCGGCAGCATTTATGATAAATGGGCCACCACAGGCACCCCCCGACCCCGCCCCCTGCCGCCACCAGCACTGAGGAGGCAGCTGCACCTCGCCGGCTGATTCTCTCTGACCCTGTGGGCTGGCAGCACTTTTCAATTCCTCAGACACCCCCCAGGGAGTCTGGGAGTCCAGGATCCCATCCCGCCCACGGAGGGGAGGCTGCACCTGCCAGCTCCCCCCTCCCCCAGTCCCCCGACGGGACAGCCACGAGCAGCCATCTTACAGCAGGACCCCCGCTCCCTGGGCCAGGAGGAGGTAATTATCCCCTTGTTAGGACAAACGCATATGAATGGCCTATTTGCACTTGTTTGGATAAAGAGAGGGAGACGCCCGCCCCCTTGGAAAGCAAGCAGGTGCTGTGCAGGTCTGTGCGCGGCAGAGACCGCTCATCTGGACAGAGTTTTCATTTGGGAAGAAAAGCCCCCCCTTGAGTCAGCACGTTCGTTTTGACCCGCGTGTTTCAGCCACATTCAGGTTCCGTTCTGACTTGGGTTGCGATGCGTTCTCTTTCCCGTGGCCTGAGACTGTGGCTTTGGGGCAAGATTGGAGGGAGGGAGTTTCTTTCTACAGCAGGGAAGTGGCTGAGAATTTGCCTAGTTGATGCCCCTGTGTGAATAACAGCGTGTGTTCTGGGGGCCCCGTGAGACTGTGCGCCAGTCCACGGGCTATAGGATCGGGAGACCAATGGGATTCGTTTCCTTGTGGTCACAGGACAGGGACGAATGGGCTTCTCTGGGGCTTCAGAGGAAGGACCAGCTGGGCCACCTTGCGTGGGACCGGGCGTGTGAACCAGGGAGGCTCATGGGGGTTTGAAGGGCAGGAAGGGGGTTCACAGAAATCATTTGGGTGCAGATTCCATGACCTGGGATGCCACACTATCGAGCTGCCTTTGAACAGTTGGGCATTTGGGGTCGACGTGGCCCCGCAGTGCTTTAGGAATCTCGGTGGCAATATGGCAGGTGGGACGAGAAGTGGTGAGAATGGACGTGACAGAGGTGTGTCCAACCCCAAGTCCTCGAAGTTATTATTTATATTTTTGAATGAAATGACCTTTACATTTGAAAGTCTGTAAGTGAAGTGGCTTTGAAGATTGCCTTGGGACACGAGCCGAAAACCTTAACGCACCTTCTCCGTGATGGCTGATAACTGCCCCCAAGAACAGCTTTTTGTAAACCTGGGACATAGCCAGCTGACCTCACCCAGGAGTGGGAAACTCATTACAGAAATAGGGCAGAATTTCCATATAGGACGTCTTAGCCCCCAAGTTCCTAGGAGAAAGGGAGATGAGGGGAACTTGGCTTATTTGCCTAAATGCCGATTGAGTTTTCAATTACGATAAGTGGTCAAAATAGTGCATCTGGGAAAAAATAAATGCAGGCGTTGGAGCGTCCACGTTACGTTATACATGCGGCGTCTCCTTTCACAGCCCTGCGGGAGCTGTGTTATAAACCTTTATTGCTAAACTCGGATTTCAACTTCAATTCTATGCCGCAAATATATCTCTTCCACTGCCTTTGTGTTTCATGGACAATGCCCTGTGAAGTGAGCAGCCTTGCTGCGGCAAGGTGGCCTTGGACATCAGGGGAGGCCACATTCTAATTCAGCGCTTGACACCCTGCTCGCCGGAGGTGATCAATTTCCTGCTCCCAGGAGCTGTCTCCTCTTGAAACCACATTTGACCGGGAGCCAGAGGGAAGCCGGCAATGCTTCTGCAAAATATGACACGAATCCAATTTCCTCCTGACCTTGTCTCACTGTGTGTTTTATTTCTCTTGTTTTATGTATATTTCTTTATTACCAGAAGCTTTTTTTTCAGGCCTGAAGTTGCCACCCACCCCTACAAAAAAGAAAAAGAGAGTCCAGTTGAGGGTTAGATGCAGGAAGTGAGGTATGAAAGGAAACGACCATCCAGGGCATTGTTCCTTTTTTTTGATTTGGTAGGAGCTTCTTGCCAGAGATTTTCCACACAGGTTATTGGTGTGGGGTGGTGTGAATTCTCCCATCCTATCCCCTCCCTGGCAGAGAGGGAGCGTTGAGTGCAGGGCGGTATTACATACACATGGGATCCAAGGGACCATCTGAGCAGTTCTCTGGGTCTCTGGTTGGGGGCAGCCAGCAGCCTGGCACCTGCTGCAACGCCAGCCCGCTTGACAGAGGAGAGGTGGGCGCCATCAGCTACCCAATTGAAGGGGCAGGAGACCAGGGAGGCAGAAATATAATTACTGAGCTGGAACCAGACCAGGCCACAGGGGCCCACCTCACCTTCCCTGGCCTCCCCCAGCTCATTATTGGCAAGCAGTTCTGAAATACCACGAGGGTCCAGAAATCGTGTTTTGAGATGGCACAGGGGCACGTGCATACAGGGTTCATCGCCTTCAGGCGCACGGCCTGGGAGGGGCCGCCGTGCCCTAAAGCAGCAGTGGGACAGACGCACTCGCGTGGGGCAGATCCAAGCCCGGCAAGCAGGGAGCAGACGTGCCCCATCCCTGATCAGCAGAGGAGGCTGGTCTCTCCCCTCACATTCCCGAGGCCTTTCTTCTCATTCAAGAAGAAAGCTGCAAAAGTGTGATGATGGTCCAACCCAAGTCGAGCTTCACGGCCAGCCTCCACCAGGAAGGGATGGCATCTGACTGGGCTCGGGGCCCTGTATTCAACCCGGCGTAGGCCCCATGTGCGGCTGGGACCCCGGCAGAGGTTAGGCAGGAAGGGCGGCCTTGGGAGCAGCCTCTTGATCCCACGTGTGGAAGGCAGAAGGGAGGGCAGGGCACATGCAGCTCTGGGGCGTCCAGAGCTCGCTCAATGACCACTTGTGTCCAAACTGCCAGCCCAAAGCATTGGGGTCCCATGAGTGTTGGTGTCGTGGACTTACTCTTCAGGGAAGAGAGGAGGGGGTGGGAAGTGAGGGCAGGGGCTGTCCCACCTCCTCTGGTGATAGGGGGGACCCTGTGTGGCCTCCGCCAGCCCCAAATGGTGCCCGTAAGTGGAAGGTGAGTGGGCTCAGGGTGGGCCCTCGGGGGGCACACGGTTCTGATTGCAGAAGATTGGAGGAAGGGGCTTTGTCCTTGGCAATGGCGTCTTCACCCCCCCACACACACACACATTTAGGGGAGAAGGTTGCAACCTGAGCACCTGTCTCTAGAAGACAAGCTCTAGGGTCAGCCTGCCTTTCTGGAGGCTGCTGTGATGTGCCCCACAGACAGCACAGTACCCACGCGCGGCCTCCTCTTTCTTCCCGTAGATTCCAAGTGGGGACCCGCAAGTGACTGAGCCCAGCTCCGGGGACCCAGACGCCACCGCGGGCTTCAGCACACAAGGTAATCGTACCCTTTTCAGTCTCTGAAACACTAAGTTGGTAGTTTTCCAGGCTGTCTCCTCTCTTTTCCTTCTCTTCCTCTGTAAGGGGGGGAATTTGCTGCAGCCTCTCCTGCTAAGTACATGGAAGGTTCCACATGTCCTCCTTCCCTGCCCCCAGTGGTCAGAGCTGGGAGGCCTCATGCTTTCCCTAGGGGGCTTTGTCCGCCTCCCCCAGCGCCCTTTCTCTCTCACTCGAGGAGTATGGATTTGAAGAAAAGTGCGACGCAGTCTGCGATGGACCCTTTCCAGAGCAAAATCATACCAGGCTAACGTCCACTCAGCCCCTCCCTGAGGAGGAGGCGTGGCTGGGCCAGGGGGAATCCAGAGCTGGGGGCTCCCTGCCCACTGGCTGCGGAGGGGGAGGCTGGAGGGCAGGGGCCTGAGGTTGTGTCCTGGAGGGCGTGGCAGGAAAAGTGTGAGAAGTCAGATCCCAAATATGGTGTGGGAGTCACAGGACAAACCTCGGGGTAGGGAAGGTGGTCCGAGGTGACAGGCAAGCAGACAACCTTGGCAGCAGGGGGAACAGATGGGTGGGGTGGAGGGGCGTCCCTGGGGAGCTTTCGTCTTGAGGTCCCCAGCAGGCTCGTGTGGGTGCATTTATTTGGAGACCAAAGTCAGCCACCTTGGGAGATGACTAAGCGTCCCAGAAAGGACCGTGACTGTGGTGGCCCTCTGTGCTGCTGCCATCACCACTTCAAGTAACGTCTAAGAGAAATAAGGAGGGGCCATCCTTCATGAGGCCACCTGTGAGCAGCAGGGGCCCCGGGTCGCTACAGTTGAATGTGGAAGTGACCTTGCCCTTCCTGTGGTGACTCCAAGCAGCCATCAGGAGCTTGTCTAAGAGGTGGCATCCGGAGACCACTTTTCCAGAGCCTACTCCAGGGCGCAGTGCCTTCTAAAGCTTGGTGGGGGTAGTGCCTGCAACCAGGCCCCCCATTCCAGCCACGTGATTCCCACAAACCACCAGTTCTCCAGGAAAGCATGGTTAGAAAGGCCAGGCAGCATGGTGGCTCCAGGGCCCGTTTCTATCTGTGGCCTCGGGGCAGGTGGAGATGGACAGGGTGTCTGGGATGCCCCTCTGGAGGCATTCAGCAGGGCTGGGCCCTCCTCACTGCCTCACGACCCTGGGCAGTTAGCTGGGCTCCACCGAGAGATTCAGAGGGGCCAGACCTGAGGGTGGGCAGGAACACAAGAAGCCCTGGCAGGGGGCTTGCAGGCCAAGCAGGTAGTATACAGGGAATTTCTGTGTGGGGTGAGGTTGAGGTCAAGGTCATTCTTTTTGCCAGTATACGTCCAATTGTTCCAGGCTGTTTCTTGCTTTTGTACCTTTGTCAAAAACCAGTCAAGCATAGTTGCATGGGTCTGCTTCTGGGTCCCTGTTCTGTTCTGTCCCATTGATCTGTGTGTCAGCCCCTCTGCCAATTCCACACTGTCTTCATGGCTGTTGCTCTGTAATAAGCCTCAGTATCAGGCAAGGGATGCCTCCCACTTCATTCTTCTTTGTCAAGGTTGCAGCTACTGTAGGGCCTGTGCCTTTCCATATCCATTTTTGAATCAGCTCACCTGTATCTACAAAATACCTTGCTGGAACCTTTTTTTTAAAGATCATTTTTTTTCAATTTTTTTAATACATCTTTATTGGAGTATAATTGCTTCACAATGCTGTGTTAGTTTCTGTTGTACAACAAAGTGAATCAGCCATATGCATACATATGTCCCCATATCCCCTCCCTTTTGAGCCTCCTTCCCACCCTCCCTATCCCACCCCTCTAGCTAGTTGCAAAGCACTGAGCTGATCTCCCTGTGCTATGCGGCTGCTTCCCACTAGCTATCTATTTTACATTTGGTGGTGTATATATGTTGACGCTTCTCTCACTTTGTCCCAGCTTCCCCCTCCCCGCTCTGTGACCTCAAGTCCATCCTCTATGTCTGCGTCTTTATTCCTGCCCTGCCTCTAGGTTCATCAGTACCATTTTTTTCAGATTCCATGTATATGTGTTAGCATACAGTATTTGTTTTCCTCTTTCTGACTTACTTCACTCTGTATCACAGACTCCAGGTCCATCCACCTCACTACAAATAACTCAATTTTGTTTCTTTTTATGGCTGAGTAATATTCCATTGTATATATGTGCCACATCTTCCTTATCCATTCATCCGTTGACGGACGCTTAGGTTGCTTCCATGTCCTGGCTATTGTAAACAGAGCTGCAATGAACATTGTGGTACATGTCTCTTTATGAATTATGGTTTCCTCAGGGTATATGCCCAGTAGTGGAATTGCTGGATCGTGTGGTAGTTCTATTTTTAGTTTTTTAAGGAATCTCCATACTGTTCTCCATAGTGGCTGTATCAATTTACATTCCCACCAACAGTGCAGGAGGGTTCCCTTTTCTCCACACCCTCTCCAGCATTTGTTGTTTGTAGATTTTTTGATGATGGTCATTCTGACCAGTGTGAGGTGATACCTCATTGTAGTTTTGATTTGCATTTCTCTAGTAATTAGTGATGTTGAGCATCTTTTCATGTGCTTCTTGGCCACCTGTATGTCTTCTTTGGAGAAATGTCTATTTAGGTCTTCTGCCCATTTTTTAATTGGGTTGTTTGTTTTTTTGATATTGAGCTCCATGAGCTCTTTGTATATTTTGGAGATTAATCCTTTGTCCCTTGTTTCATTTGCAAATATTTTCTCCCATTGTGAGGGCTGTCTTTTCGTCTTGTTTATGGTTTCCTTCGCTGTGCAAAAGCTTTTAAGTTTAATTACATCCTATTTGTTTATTTTTGTTTTTGTTTTCATTACTCTAGGAGGTGGGTCAAAAAAGATCTTTATGCAGTTTATGTCAAAGAGTGTTCTGCCTATGTTTTCCTCTAGGTTTGTAGTATCTGACTTTACATTTAGGTCTTTAATCCATTTTGAGTTTATTTTTGTGTATGGTGTTAGAGAATGTTCTAATTTCATTCTTTTACACGTAGCTATCCAGTTTTCCCCGCACCACTTATTGAAGAGGCTGTCTTTTCTCCACTGTATGTTCTTGCCCCCTTTGTTGTAAATTAGGTGACCATATGTGAGTGGGTTTATCTCCGGACTTTCTCTCCTGTACCATTGATCTATATTTCTCTTTTTGTGCCAGTACTATACTGTCTTTTTTTTTTTTTTTTTTTTTTTGTGGTATGCGGGCCTCTCACTGTTGTGGCCTCTCCCGCTGTGGAGCACAGGCTCCGGACACGCAGGCCCAGCGGCCATGGCTCACGGGCCCAGCCGCTCCGCGGCATGTGGGATCTTCCCGGACCGGGGCACGAACCCGTGTTCCCTGCATCGGCAGGCGGACTCTCAACCACTGAGCCACCAGGGAAGCCCTATACTGTCTTGATTACTGTAGTTTGTAGTATAGTTTGAAGTTGGGGAGCCTGATTCTTCCAGCTCCATTTTTCTTTCTCAAGATTGCTTTGGCTATTCGGGGTCTTTTGTGTTTCCATACAAATTGTAAAGTTTTTTGTTCCAGTTCTGTGAAGAATACCAATGGTAGTTTGATAGGGATTGCATTGAATCTGTAGATTGCTTTGGGTAGTAGAGTCATTTTCACAATATTAATTTTTCCAATCCAAGAACAGGGTATATTTCTCCATCTGTTTATGTCGTCTTTGATTTCTTTCATCAGTGTTTTATAGTTTTCTAAGTACAAGTCTTTCACCTCCTTAGGTAGGATTATTCCTAGGTGGTAGGAAATTTTTTGCAGTGGTAAATGGGAGTGTTTCCTTAATTTCTCTTTCAGATTTTTCATCATTAGTGTATAGGAATGCAAGAGATTTCTGTGCATTAATTTTGTATCCTGCTACTTTACCAGATTCATTGATTAGCTCTAGTAGTTTTCTGGTGGCATCTTTAGGATTCTCTATGTATAGTATCATGTCATCTGCAAACAGTGACAGTTTTACTTCTTCTTTTCCGATTTGGATTCCTTTTCTTTCTTTTTCTTCTCTGATTGCTGTGGCCAGGACTTCCAAAACTATGTTGAATAAGAGCAGCGAGAGTGGACGTCCTTGTCTTGTTCCTGATCTTAGAGGAAATTCTTTTAGTTTTTCATCATTGAGTATGATGTTTGCTGTGGATTTGTCATATATGGCCTTTATTATGTTGAGGTAGGTTCCCTCTATGCCCATTTTCTGGAGATAAAACGGTGTTGAATTTTGTCAAAAGCTTTTTCTGCATCTATTGAGATGATCATATGGTTTTTATTCCTTAATTTGTTAATACAGTGTATCATGTTGATTGATTTGCCTATATTGAAGAATCCCTGTGTTCCTGGCATAAATCCCACTTGATCGTGGTGTATGATGCTTTTAATATGTTGTTGGATTCTGTTTGCTAGTATTTTGTTCAGGAATTTTGCATCTATGTTCATCAGTGATATTGGTCTATAATTTTCTTTTTTTGTGATATCTTTTTCTCGTTTGGTATCAGGGTGGCGGTGGCTTTGTAGAACAAATTTGGGAGTGTTCCTTCCTCTGCAATTTTTTGGAAGAGTTTGAGAATGATGGGTGTTAGCTCTTCTCTAAATGTTTGATAGAATTCACCTGTGAAGCTGTCTGGTCCTGGGCTTTTGTTTATTGGAAGATTTTAAATTACAGTTTCAACTTCATTACTTGTGAGAGGTGTGTTTATATTTTCTAATTCTTCCTGGTTCAGTCTTGGAAAATTGTACCTTTCCAAGAATTTGTCCATTTCTTTGTGGTTGTCCGTTTTATTGGCATATAGTTGTTTGTAGTAGTGTCTTATAATCCTTTGTATTTCTGCAGTGTCAGTTGTGATTTCTTCTTTTTCATTTGTAATTTTATTGATTTGCGTCCTCTCCCTTTTTTTCTTGATGAGTCTGGCTAAGGGTTTATCAATTTTGTTTATCTTCTCAAAGAACCAGCGTCTAGTTTTATTGATCTTTGCTATTGTTTTCTTTGTTACTATTTCATTTATTTCTGCTCTGATCTTTGTGATTTCTTTCTTTCTACTGACTTTGGGTTTTCTTTGTTCTTCTTTCTCTAGTTGCTTTAGGTGTAGGGTTAGATTGTTTATTTAAGATTTTTCTTGTTTCTTGAGGTGAGATTGAATGGCTATAAACTTCCCTCTTAGAATTGCTTTTGCTGCGTCCCATAGGTTTTGGGTCATTGTGTTTTTGTTGTCATTTGTTTCTATGTATTTTTTAAATTTCTTCAGGGATCTCTTGGTTACTTAGTAGCACACTGTTTAGCCTCCATGTATTTGTGTTTCATTTTTTTAATTTTTTTTTTTTTATCATTCTTCTGGCCACACGGCAGGTGGGATCTTAGTTCCCTGACCAGGGATCGAACCCATGGCCCCCGCATTGGAAACATGGAGTCTTAACCACTGGACTGCCAGGGAAGTCTCCCTTGCTGGGATCTTGACAGGAATTAAACCTGTACAGCTATTTGGATAGAATCACCATCTTTCTTTTTTTATTGAAGTCGGATTGATTTACAATGCCATGTTGATTGCTGCTGCACAGCAAAGTGACTCAGTTATACGTATATATTCTTTTCATATTCTTTTCCGTTATGGTTTAATCACAGGATATTGAATATAGTTCCCTGTGCTATACTGTAGGACCTTATTGTTTATCCATCCTGTACATAATAGTTTACATCTGCTAATCCCAAACTCCCAATCCTTCTCTCCCCACCCCCCTTCCCCTTGGCAACCACAAGTCTGTTCTCTATGTCTGTGAGTCTGTTTCTGTTTCACAGATAAGTTCATTTGTGCCATATTTTAGAGAATCGCCATCTTTCTAAAGCTGAGTCTTCCAAGGCATGAATACAGTCTGTCTCCATGGTTTTCGAGCTTTGGTTTCACGGTATCATTTTCAGCATATAGATCCTGGGCAGCTTTCCTTAGTGTGTATGTTTCGTGTTTCATTTTTCTCTGGAGCAGCTGTTGATGGCACTGGGTTTACACCTTTGGTTTCTGCGTGTTCATCGTCAGTACATGGGACTGACTCTGAATCAATCGGAGGGGATTCACTCATGTATTCCCCTTGAATCCTGCAGGCTTGCTGAGTGCACTTATTAGCTCTAGAATTTTTTTTGTTTTTTTGGAGATTCTGTTATTGTTTTTTTAAACAATATTGTTTTGCTCTTTGTTAAAATAACAAAATAGTGATGAGGACATGGGTGCCCTAACTGGTGGCTTGTAAGTCAGCCCACTGCTTTGGCAAGGCATTTGGGATGCAGAGCCATGACAATATTTATGCCATTAGATGTGGTCATACTTCTAGAATCACCCCCGGGGAGTAATGCTGAAAAAGGAAAACTAAGCATGCAGATACGCCTTTTCCATAACAGTAAAAACTGAGGGGGACAATGAAGTCCATTAATAAGAGTTCAGGAAAATGTGTTAACACAAGTTGAGTATATCACTACACATTATTAGGAAAAACGTTTTCAAGCCGTTAGGTGAAACCCTGGAGGTCCACCACGATTATGACTTCTATAAAAATGTAGGCACATAACACAACCCCGGAGGGGAGGGTGTGCAGAAATGAGAGTGACCAGCCTTGGGCCATAAGCTTTTCCTGTAATGCTGTCCTAATTTTATAAGTTTTCTATTAATTACTTATATTCAGAGCTAGGTCACATTTGTCACTCATGACTCTCTGCATTTCCTTGAGGAACTCAACCACTGGATTTTCACTGACATTAAGAAACTTGGGGGACTTCCCTGGTGGAGCAGTGGTTAAGAATCCATCTGCCAATGCAGGGTACACGGGTTCAAGCCCTGGTCCGGGAAGATCCCACATGCCACGGAGCAACTAAGCCCGTGCGCCACAACTACTGAGCCTGTGCTCTAGAGCCCACGAGCCACAACAACTGAGCCCACGCACCACAACTACTGAAGCCCATGCACCTAGAGCCGGTGCTCTGCAACAAGAGAAGCCACCAATGAGAAGCCCACGCACCGCAGTGAAGAGTAGCCCCCACTCTCCGTAACTAGAGAAAGCCCACACACAGCAGTGAAGACCCAATGCAGCCAAAAAAAAAAAATTAAATTAAAAAAAAAAGAAACTTGGGCTCAAGGGTGTGTACATATGTCCAGTCTCATCAAATTATATACAGTAAATAGGCACAGGTGTTTTGCGTATCAGTTATACCTCAGTAAAGCTGCAGAGGAGAGAGAGAGGGAATTGGGATCAAAAAGAATCTGAAGGAATGAATATTATTTTTAATTTAATTTAATATTTAATTATTTAATTAATTTTATTCATTTAATTATTAAATATTTATTATTTATTAAATATTATTAAATATTTATTAAATTATTTAATTTAATGTTTAATTATTTAATATACTTGCTGGGTGATTTTTGAAAAGATTTTGAGAGTGTTAATAATGACACTGTCTAGGTTTGAAGTTTTCTAAGGAGCCAGGAAAGTATTTTTTCTTTTCTACATTTATACATTTGGTCTTGAGCACTTTCCCAATTACTTCCTTGGGATAAATTCCAGTGAGGGAAATTGCTGAGTCCAGGGGAATGTGTATTTTAGACTTGGATGTATTGACTACACTGTGTCCTGGAAGGGTTTTATTACGAGTTTATGTTCCCACCAAGAGTGTTTGTGACACCCTAAGACTTTGTCACTCCCGGGGACCTTTACCATCCTTGTAGGTGAACTTGACACACACATAGGATTGAGTTTCTGCACCTTTTTACATATCTATTATGAACTTGTAGGTCTGTTTTAGGTCCATTTATTTCTGTTGCAGTGGGGGTTTTTTTGTTTTTTGTTTTATAAGAAAAATATTTGTTAAATAGAGAAATGAGAAAAGGTGTAAGAGTGACTCTTTTTCTATTTATGGCAGGTTTGCTTCCCCAGTTCAGGCTTTGCTTCTCGAAGCCTGTTAATGAGGCCTTGGCGTACACAAATTTACCATGTTTTTGTTGCTGTTGTCAAATTTATCAAGCTTTTCCTTTATGGTTTCTATCATGTTTACAAAGTCTTTCACCCCCTCAAGGCAGTAGATTTATTCTCCCATATTTTCTTCTACTCCTACGGTATCTTAAATAAGAAAAGGATTAATCGTCCTGAAGAATTTTTTTTTTTTTTTTGCATGTGATATGTGAGGTCTGGCTCATCTTTGTTGTTCCAGGTGGACTCATGGGACTGATGGTCTCAAAGCATCTCTCAGGAGGGCAGCGGCAGACAGTGGGGGAGAGGGGGGCGCCGAGCACGTGCGCTCCGGAACGGGTCCGCTTTCCGCCAGCTCCCACTCGCTGGCCGGCCACCTTCCTCCCTGCCCTCCCTCAGCAGTTTCCTCGGCTGTGGGCTGCGGGTGACTGGGTGGGCCCTGGGCACAGGACATGTGCACAGATGTGGGGCTCGCAGGGCCCCTGGGAGCAGAGAAGTTCCCCCAGGACCCACAGGAAGGGGAGGAAGGAACAGATCTCAAAGCCTCCCCCACTGTAAGAGTTCAGGCTGCTGTGGTTCTTACCATGTGTTGCCCACGCAGGCCACTCGCCTTGAACGTCTACTTCAGTGTGGGGAGGGAGCAGTGAGGAGCCTTAGGGAGGGGTGCCCGGGGGTGGTCTGGTGATGGGAGAGGAGGGTAGAGGGCAGTGCTCCTCAAGCCCTGATGTGCATACAGGTCCACTGGGGACCCTGTTTAGACAGATTCTGGTCCAGCCCCCACCCCAGGGGCCACCTGCAGAGAAGCAAGGGGTAAAGCCCAGCGTAAGCAGCATGACATGACCGGTCCAGAGCAGCGGTTCTCACACTCGGGGCATCAGAATCCCCTGGGGCTTGTTCAAACCCTGATGGCCGGGCCCACGCTCGGAGCCGGGCAGGGCTGGACTGAGGATGTGCTTTTTGGCACAGTTGCAGGGGGGTTTGTTCTCAGAGGGCTGGGCTACCCCACCTGCCTGACGAGGGGCTGCACTCTGGGCCCAAGCTGCACCCCCTGCGTGGGGCGGGCACCGGCGCCTGGTTAGGGTGCCCTGGGGTCCCTCAGAGCCCCGACCTCTCTCTGCATGGGCCCTGCCCACTGCGCACGTGACCCCCACCTTCCTGTACTTCAGACCCCCCAGGGGATGCCCTGGATGGGAGACGCGGCTGGTTTCTGACTTGGAGTCTCTCGTGGAGACCCGTACCCCTCCTGGAATGATTCTCGGGGGATCGTCTGGTTCCCCCATCCTTTCTACACAGAGCACTATCAGCCTGGGCAGGATTTCCGCTCCCGCAAGATGACAGGGTCTGTCCAGGGTTGGAGTTTGGAGGGTGGGCTGCTCCCACCCCCTGGGGGGACCCTGGGTGGCGGATGGGCGCATGGACGGTGCTGTCCCATGTGGGGGCAGCTTGGTAGTTGCCCAGCACCAGTGCTAACGTCGTATCCTTGGCCTTGCAGCGCCGGCCGACAGCTCCAGCCTGCTGGCCCCCGAGGGCACTGCCACGCCGGGCCTGAGCTGCCCACCCTCCGACGGCCCCACGGGCGCTCTGCTGCCCGCCGCACACCCGCGCCGCACATCCCCTGAGGGCCACCCCCAGGGCACACGGGCAAGGCCAGGTCCCAGGCGTGTGGCCCGCTCCGCCAGCGACCCCACCTCGTGCGCATCCAGGGCGGCAGGTACAGCTGGCCCAGCCCCGTGTCCCCAGGGCGTGCCTGGCTCTGCCCGGACACTGCAGGCCTCCGTGCCCCCTGGGAGTGGAGTCCAGCCCTGGGCCCCGCCTCAGGGCCACACGGGGAACGTGGTCTCGATGTCCAGAGCCTGTAAGGGTGGCAGACATTCTGGGGCCCCTGCTGTGCTCCCACCAGGCTTGCTGCTCTGGCCAGGAAGGCGGGAGGGAGGAGGAAACGTTTGGGGTGATGACAGCCCTCCAGGAGGGTCCGCCAGCCCCGACATTAGCCTGTGGGCTGCACACCAGCTCCGGGGCACAAGAAGGTCCTAGGGTCAGGCAGGGCCCACAGTCTGTACCTGTCTGTCAGCCGGGGTGGCTCTCCCCCCAGGACCAGTCTGGGTAACACACCTGTGGGAAGTGCTAGTGTCTGCTGAACGGTCCGGTGGGACCCAGCGCCACGCAAGGTGTGGCTGCATCTCAGTGACAGCGTTGCACAGGTGGGTGTCCGCCAGCCGATGCCGCCCAGGGCAGACACGGGTGTGTTCTCGACAGCACTTCACGGGCGCCCTGGGCCGCACTCAGCGTGTGGCCCAGAGCTGCGTCAGAGTCGCCCACGTGAAGTCAGCATGGCCAGTGCCCTCCCAGGCCAGGGGACCTGGCACCAGAGTCCTGCGTCCGGCAGCCCAGGAACCTGCTCTTCAACCAGCCCCCCAAGGGGTCTTGTACGTCCTGAAGTGGGAGGACCCCCATCTCCTCCCAGGTTGCTATTTTTGAGTGGTAGGATGGCGGGGTCTGTGCCAGTAAAGGCCCGTGAGCCCTTGGCCACAATGCCATCGCCGTGGGCACTTGTCCACATAGCACAAGTGAAGGAACCTGGAGGAGGCCAGTGGTGCCCGGACTGGTCAGGGTCTTGTCCGGCTGGGCCCCAAGGAGACTAGATCCCGTCCTGCCCCAGAACCGCGTCCCTGTGAGGAGCCAGCAACGCTCACAGGCAGCTGCCCGGAGGTGCCCTGCTGGGAAGTGCTGGGCTTTGCTTCTGCAGCTCTTCGGTCCGCATCCCTTTCCCTGCCCTCCTGCACCCACCTGCCAGCTCACACTGAGACGCCTCTGCCAGAGCCTCCTGGAGATGCCCCTCGGCTGGTGTACTCCTGGTTCAGATGTCTCTCGCCCCGTTAGGGCCAACACTTCCCGAACGGGGCTCCCTGATGACTGCACACACCCCCACCCAGTGAAGTTCATGCTCCGCAAACCCTGACACGTCAGGGATGGACTTGCAGAGCAGCGGTTGGCTTGATCACAAGTCATCACCCCTGCATCCTACTCACCGCCCTGTCGCCTCAGCCTCCTCTCGGCTGCGTGACAGTTACTGTTGTGCACGTGCCTCCCGGGGGCCCGGACCCCCAGATGCAGAGGGGGATTGGGATGAGGGACACTGGGTTTGTCAGTGGCACCGGCCTGCTACCCTGTGCCCGGGGCCACGCTGAGGAAGTGACGGGCCCTGGGGACGCCACCTGCCCCAGGTGGGAGCCACCTGGGCGCCGGCTGGCTTAAATTCAGGATTTCTGCTCTTGTATCTGAAATCCATTTCTTATCCTCAGGAGGGTTACTACGGTGTTATCGGGAATTCCTTTTCCCTGGCTGTGTGTTAACTGAATTCTCTTTCTGGTTAAGGCGATGCCTCGTCACACACCCCATCCTGCAGCCAGGATCTTGAAGCAGGACTGTCCCGGGCTGCACGGGGAACCGGTGAGACGCTCTTTTTCTGAAACCCTTTGATAACCACAGTGTGGGGGGCAGGGGTGACCAGAGGTCCTCGGCTGCCTTGTGTCTAAACACAGCCCCTCCCAGGGTCACCCAGGCACGCGATGCCCCAAATCTCTGGGCTTTGGAAGATGGGCCTGCCTTGCCTCCCCTGCTCTCTTGGCAGATGTATTAGAGGCTACAGCTAATTTAACACCACACGGCTGCTTGTGTCACTGTATTTATGAGATTCTCTTTGGAGGGGAGACGGGCCTCCGTGTGAATCTTATACAGTTTCACATGCTTAATTGCCAGGCTTGCTCGCTGCCACCAGGAATACCCCAGACCACCCAGAACGTGTTTCCTTGTGTGACTTGAAACGTAGGTTGAGCAAGCCGGGTCTTAATCTGGTCCTTGGTGAGTTGGTCACAGCTGACCGCCCGGAGCTGCTTTCTCTGGAGGGTCATCTGGAGTGGCCGAGGCCCGCTGGTAGCTGGTTCCGTTTCCCTGGCCTTGGCCTGGGGAGCATTGAGCACAAGGCCCTGGGCTTCGGGCGACTCTGCTGCCTCGTGAGAGGTGGCTGCTGTCTCTGCCCTTGACGTGGGGAGGGCGCTCTCATTGCCCCTCTGCCACCCCCAGCTCTGCTCTTAAGGCAGACGTGTCTCCAAATGCCACCCAACCCACAAGGGCGAAGGTCACTGAGCTGGGGAAGGCTGAGAAGGGGCAGCCCCCCTGCGAGCTCGGGAATTCCAGCAGAGAGGCACACAGAATGGACACCCCTGCCCCGCCCTGCCCTTCACTCGCTGGTCGGCTTCGAATCTTGCCCTCCCATCTCCAGCCCTCGGCTCCAGGAGGCTGCGGCCCCTCTAGGTTACTGCAGGCTGAACTCGGGGCTGCGAGGGGCCAGGCCATGCCAGGGGACATGCGAAGCGAGGGCCAGCTGGGGAACACAGAAATCCCAGCGGAAAGCTTGTCCCAAGCATCCCTGTGTTTGCTTTTCAGAGAAGTTAGTGCACGGCTGCCCTCTGTTTTGTGTCGGGTGTTTTCAGATTGTGCATTTTCCCTTGGTTTTCAGCTTCCTTGTCTCACTCTGTCATGGTTGCCTGTGCCTGTCGGCCCCAGCTTTCACCCCCCAGGGAACCAGATGCCTGGAAAACGGACCAGCGGTTAAAGCCAGAGGCCTTACAGACAGTCTCCAAAGAGCGGCCGCACTCCTTAGTGGACAGCAAGGCCTACGCGGACGCCAGGGTTTTGGTGGCTAAGTTCTTGGAACACTCGAGCTGCTCCCTTCCCGTGGAGGTGAGGCACGTGGTGGGCTCCGCTCGCTCGGCCATCCCCTCCGAGGAGTGCCACATGGAGGAGGCCGTCCTCAGCGCCCGTGTCCTGGACCAGCTGTGAAGGCGCCTCCGCCTGGATGTGGACATGGACAGACCTGGTGCCAGAGTCCCTGCCGGGGATGCCGGGCCTGTGGGGAGAGGCTGCTTCCCCGGGTGGATCAAGCGGCGGAGGCCGTTCCCTCCTCCAGGGGGACCCCATCGGCTGTTTTCTGGGGGCTGACACTTCCTACCTGTCCCAGTGATACAGTGGATGACTCTTGTGTCCGTCGTGAATTCTTCCCTGTTGTCAGGCAGGTGGCACCTTGAACTAGCCACGTGATAGGGATCCAGTGGCAGGGGACATGCATGTAGCTAAAGAAACTGAGGTATCTTCACAATCGGGGCCACGGAAGAGCAGGATTCTCCCGCACCCCAGTCCCCCCGCCCCGATTTACTTTAGTGTTTAAAGGGGTAGAGGAGGCCATCAGGCAGTGAGCCCATTTCCCCTTGCGGTTTGAATCAACGATCAACCCTTTCTTAGAGGCTGATTTTTAAGAAAATAAGTCATTCTAGCCCAGATGGCAGCGGGGGTCCAGCCTTATGCCCGCAGGGCGACAGGGCCACCCTGTGAACAAACATACAATGAGGGACTCCCCAGGGGAGCCTGGCCACCCTGTGGCAAGGGGCTTTGAGGGACGCCCACTCCCACCCCCCACTCCCCCCCACCCCCAC